CAGAGAGAGAGAGAGACAGAGAGAGAGAGAGACAGAGAGAGAGAGAGACAGAGAGAGGTTCAAAGTTTTGTCATCCTTAAAATTGTAGATCATACATGCAACATAAAAAAAACAAGTACAACAGAGCAGCATCTTGCAGCTTTTAAGTAGCCATTTTATGGTCATAAAATATGAAATCATGCACCAGTGTTAATGCAAAGTTGAAGATACAATCAGTTTTGTAAAAAGAAAAAAAAAACAGCAAATTATTACTTTAAATGTATATTTTTTTGCAATATGGGCAAAAAAGGATGCCCCTAAATATACATTTTTAGAATAATATTAACAAACGCATGCATAAAACAAATAGAAACATGAAGTAAAAAATATATTTACAGCGGTCAGGTGAACTGAAGAGGCAGCAGTTTGCCAGCCAGAGAGGGAGGAAGGGGGACACCAGCAGGCCAAGCACCACCTTAGAGGTCGTCTAGGGCCTCTCTTCTCTGCCTTCGGCTTACTGCAGGAGCATGGTGTTGCCTACAGTCTGGAGCCCTGCACACCATAAGCAGAGGAGGAAGACACGAATGACGTCATGTTTCACACACTGCGTGACTCATCACTGCTGCTGCTGCTAACTCTGGCAGGGAGGAGGACAGAGCAGCTGAGAGCTCAGAGCTTACTGGGACATGGCTTTTAAAAATGGCCACCCAAATTTTCTGCTGTTTGGATTTTTATATTACTAATGTTTGTATAAACATGTTTTTACAATGTGTGTATTGCTTTTTAAAAATTGGTAGGTTCTTTTTAGAAAAGAGATTTTTAAAAAATCTTTGGATTTTTGACAAGAAACATTCTGTAATGTGTTGTTAAAATGAAGCACTTTATCAACTGTTTATAGTAGAAATGGGGTGGTGTTGACCTCAACCAGTGATGTTGTAGGTAGTGGAAGGAATACTTTGTGGACCTTCTCAATCTCATCAGCACATCCTTAATGGAGGAAGCTGAGTCAGGGGGCTTTGGGGTAGGTCCCTTCATAACCAGGGCCAAAGTTGCCAAGGTAGGTAAAACGCTCTGTGACAGCAGGGATCCAGAGGGTGATAAATCTGCTCAGAGTTCCTCAAGGCTCTAAATATTGCTGAGCGGTCTTGGTTGACACACTGTTACAATATCAGGCATTAAAGATGATCTCCAGCAGTTAGTGGAGCTGTTCACAACTGAGCTGGGTTTACAATGTACACCACTAAATCTGAGGCCATGGTCTTCAGTTGGAAAAGGGTGAACTATTCTTTCCATGTTGAGAGTGAGGTGCTTCGTCAAGTGGAGGAGTTTAAGTATCTTGGGTTTTGTTCATAAGTTAAAGAGGAATGGGGCATGAGATCAACAGACAGTTTAGTGTGGCTGCTACAGCATTGCATAATCTGTGCCAGTCGTGGTGAAGACGGAGCTAAACTGCAAGGCAAAGCTCTCAGATTACCAGTTGGTCTTAGCTCCTATCCTCACCTATGGTCATAGTGTCTGAAAAAACAAAATCACAAGCAGAGGTAGTCGGCAGTAGGGTTGGGCAAAATTGTAGTGTGTGCAGTAAGTTAAACATCAGCAAAACTTTCAACAATTAATATTAGGCACTTTGAAATTCCTGTAATTAGTGCCACGTAATGACGTATTTTTGTGTGCAGCACACTATAACTATCAGGCCCAATGTGCCACAATTAATCATGATCAATTTTTATGTCCGTATTGCCCAACCATAGTCGGCAAAAGTTTTTTTTTCTGCAGGCTGGCTGGGCTTTCCCTCAGAGATAGGGGGAAAAGTTCTGTCACCCATTAGAGCCAGAATAAAACCCCTGCTCCTCCACATCGAAATGAACCAGATGAAGTGGTTTGGGCACCTGGTAAGGATTCCCCATTGGCATCTCCCAAGGGAGGTGTTCTGAACATGTCCAACTGGGAGGAGAGCACAAGGGGAAGACCCAGGAAATGACCTGGGAACACCTTGGAATCCTTGCCGAAGAGCTGTAAGAGGTAGCTGTGCAAAAACATGTCTGTTCCTCCCTGCACATGCTGCTGACCACACAACCTGACTCCAGAGCAAGTGGCCAGCAATAAATGTATGTATGGCACCCAGTAAAGCTAACTGCACTTAAAATTACGGATTTAAGTTAAGTGCTAATGTGGAATCTCACATGGCTGCATAATTTCTATAATTGCCTTTTTGTACTTTAAGGCAAAGTTGACTGCAGAATATTTTCAGCTTTTCTGTTTTGGGTATAAAAAGTCTTGTCACTGTTCTTATTTTCTTTTACAAAGAATCAATAAAAAAAGTCAACAAGACAAAGTTTAAATTTATAACTAAAATAGACTGTAGCTATCTAGCCAGGTATCTGACAACTCATTAACTTCTTGTTCCAACTTTTCCAAAACAACAGGATCACAACCACATAGTTGTTAATAATTCTTATTTATAAAAAGTACAAGATCGGTTACCTTTCAACATCACATTTTTAACAATACCTATGAGGTGACCCTACATTCGGATCCTCATCTACCTTAACTTAAAAAGAAAAAAAAAGGTTTACAAGCATCAACTTCTAGTGTTTTGCAAGCACTCTTTCACCAGCAAAAATGTTCATTTACTCTTCTACTCTGTTTTCAGGTCATAGGGTATCTTTGTGAAAATAAAAAAAATGTATTCATCTAGCAAAAATAAAGCAATGGCACTAGTAAGATAATGCATAAGCAAGCACAAATGTATGCATCTGATGTTAATAGTCATTAGCCTACAGCAAAGTAAAAATAACTCATGAGTGACTGACTTTGTAAAGTTCTGTCAGTACAGTTATGCTGCGCTATAAAAGATGTGCGAACAAATGTGGCAGGGATTTCCAGTGAAGGAAAGACCCAGGCAATGCAGCAGGAACGACGTCACCAGAAGCAGCACTGCATCACTGACCAGAACACCCACGTGCCCCAAACTCGCTTTGCTTGCAAAAACCTACCACAGTGCCACTGTAAAATTGTTCTGACTAAAGTCTTTTCAAAATAGCACTTTGTGTATTTGACCACCAAAGAAGTGAATGGTTTTGAACAAACTAGCAATTATTCTTTTGAAATGTCAGCTACAAATTTGATGAAAGGAGCAGACTGTCTTAGCTTAATGATCAGGAGGCGCTGTAAACAACACTGAAAATCAGAAACAGTAGTGGGATACTTCTGAATAAACCGGATCCTCCTCCTGTTCATGTTTACTTAGTTCTGTCATCAACACACTCCACAGCTTCCCTCAACACACACACACAATGCAGCCCATGGGGTTGCCAAGGAGATGATAACGTCATTTGATTTGAGTGAGTAAAGTGAAGGAAAGACAATATTATTTAAACATAACGGAAGTGTGTAAAGAGAAGAAAATGCAAAGATAGAAGACGGAAGTAGGGTAGGAATCGTCAGGACCTTGTGATTTGATCATGATTCAGAGAGCTGTGATGTGACTATAAAACAATCATTGATGCATTTTTAATATCTAAAAATTTTAACAAATACTTACAGGCTTATTACACAAAGAATGGCCTAACAAGAACTGCACAATTAATTACATGTTAAAAGCCTTGTTAATCAGGTTGTTGAACAACTAGCAGATACACTAATTTAACATTGAAAATGCAGCAAAAAAAGTAATTAGCACTTAATTTATCAATGGAAATTTGTACACATTTACAATTACTAAATATTTCAAAGTAAATTGTAATGACACTGATGTTATACTAAATAAAAAGATTAAAAAATATCAACAGGATGTGACAACAGCATTACTGCAACACGTTTCTACAACAGGAAACTATGGTAACTCTACTGGGGCATACAGCCATGTGATGCGATGAATCTAAAAATAGATTTTACCTCCAATCTCTAGACAGAACAAAAATGAGTGATAATAAAAATCTAAGAAGATGATGTATAATCATTATCGGTTCCCCTGTTTTTCTAGCTGGGTAATAATAAGAACTACTTCAGCAATTTAGGTTTGCCCAAGTCGTATACTTTCTGTAATAATAACAACTGAAGACAAAATCATAGTTATGGCAAAATTACATCCAATAGCTCCTGGTACATTGCACATTCAGGCAACTGCAAGACCACCAGAAGTATTTTGGTTACTGTCTTCAAGTTCACACAGTGTGTTGGAGGCCTGACTTCATCAACACATGGAGCTGTACATATGCAGAAAAACAAATGATTCAGACAGAAATTGTGTCACTTGTATTGTTGTAAACATTATCCACAAGCTGTCCTCATAAAAACCAGATGCTCTCTCTTCATAAAACACATTTCTCAAATAAAATAAATGGTATAAAATCTATGGTATGTTTTTTTTAAACAAAACAAAACAAAATTCTGAACAGATCTCTTCCTCCTGCATGGCACTAGATATTTTCAGGCAAAGTTGATTAAATATTAGCAAACAATAGGATGTATTTTATTCAATATTATTCACTTTAAGGTGTTAAAATAAAAAAAATGCTACTTTGTACAAGGGCAGCACAGTGGCTCATATAGTAGAGCTGTTGCCTCTTAGCAAGAAGGTTGCTACACTTAAGATATATCCATCCATCCATTATATTTAACCCGCTTCCTTATTTCAGGGTCACAGGGGTCACTGGTACCCATATCCAGCAGTCAGTGCGAGAGGCAGGGTACAACCTGGACAGGTGGCAAGTCCATCACAGGGCTACGTAGAGACAAGACAAACAACCACTCACCCTCTAACTCACACCTAGGGACAATTGTTACCAATTAACTAGAGGTGTCCCGATACCGATACCAGTATCGGAATYGGATCCGATACCAGCATCAAGTACTCGTACTCGTACTCGTAAAAGCCAGCCGATACTCTTAACCGATACCACTTTTGTCCCATCCTGTGCTGCGCTGCACAAAGGGTAAACAACAATCCATACCAGGCGGGGGCGCTAACGCACTGACAAGTTATTTCCGACCGCACCCCCGAACAACAGAAGAAGAACGATGAGAAGAAAAGAAGAAGAAGAAGTAACATCGGCAGTTTGGAGATATTTAAGAGCAGCACGGAGGACAAACCAGCAGACTGTATGCTGTGCTCTGCTAACTGTCAAGAGGAGGAGAGAAAGTTGGATGTTTTAACAGCAGCAATTTGATTCAACATTTGAGGACAAGACATGACAAAGAATTCAAAGAGTTTGCTGCTGCTAGCAGTAGCCTTCATAAACAGCACTGTATGCAGCAGTTGTTGCAGTAACTTCAATGCTGTTTTTTCTTTTTTGTAGAACAAACTAAGACATAAGCAGAATATGGAAGGAAGTTTGTTGTAAAAWCATTTTATTTTTCMCTSTGGTTCTTCTSAGATTTTGTTTTAGTTGTTCCATTTAAGTTWGAACTGAAATTTACTGCACTTTATTACTATTAGTCATTTATTTAACAGTTTAAGACTGAAGAAGAGTAAACTTCTATAGATGTGCTGCTAAAATTTACGTTTTACATTTTAATTTAAATTTGGTAGTTGCATGTTGAGGAAAATG